GAGATGTTGGTACACTTGTCCGTCCTCAAGGAAGATCATGGGTTCACCCTGGATCTGAAAAGACGTAGCCTGGACCGAATCCCTTCTACTGCCATCGATATGCAGGGATGCACACTTCCTGGCATTGAAGCGGACTCCCATCCAGTTGACAGTCTGGCTGGTGATGTCAAGCATTTGTTGGAGACTCTCGTGGTTGTCTGCAATCAGGATCAGATCATCTGCGTAGGCCAGGATATTCACTCTCTTGTATCTACATGCTTGTCTGTCCTCTCTGTAATCACTGCTATAACCATTAGTCAGTGCTCCCTCTCCCAGAATGTTGATTCCCAACACTGTGCTGCTGTTTAGCAGATTGTTGTGTGCCGCCACCCATCCTTGTAATACAGTACCTGAGCACTAAAATAGGTTGGCAATAGCAAGTACCTAGTGGGCTTCATGAATCCCTGATCTTTTCGGGATACAGAAATCTCTGCTGGAGGTAGGATTTGGAGGTGGATGTCATTCTGGTTTTGAAGGAAAAGCTTCCTGGTGTTGGTGCTGAAACTGCTTATTCCTTGTCATACTGTGGGCGGAGAAGAGGGCTGCATTGACAGCAGGAAAGAGCTGTTTGGTCTGGCTGGTGTGCAAGCTCCTTAATTTTCTCTGGGTGGACGATAACTTCCAAGGTCCTCATACTTGGAAAATGACTGGCTCTGTTTCCAGGCTTTGAGTCACTGGGTAACACTGTCATCGTTGGTTATTGTTTTCCATCCAAACTGTGTGAGCAGCTACTTGTCATCAATGAGGTTTAAAACAGGGAAGCCAGTCTGTGAGAGTTCATCCAGGAGCCCGTCTCCAGGAAGGAAATCTGTTGGGAAGAGTCTGGCCTCTTTTTTGATACTATTGTTATTAACAAGTAATTAATTTCTGAAGGATATACGTGGTCAGATATGCCCATACTTTAGAATTTGGAAACCCGTTTGGCTTGGTTAATCAATATATACGTGGCTTGTCTGTCTCTCTGAATAGCAATCTCCACATCCTAAGGTAAGAAGACTCCATAGGGTTGATCTTAATTCTACTTTCCTTATGTGTTCCTAGTTGTGCTCTGCGTGAGCAGTGTTTGAGTGTTGATTGTTAACAAGGAAACCATGTGCCAATTTCCTGTACAGATTTGTTAAGTTTGGGTGCCCCTGTAATTCGTCCATTCTGAATCTTATTCTTTTAAATCAGTTCCAAAGTCAAAGTTGTGGATTTCCAGGGAACGAACTGAATCACTTCTGTATGGTTTTAATTGTTTTCCAAACTGCCTTGCAAAGTGCTGTTGCCTGTGTTGGCAACAGGTTTTTTTTTAAATGTTTTCTCTGTGTTTGTTTGAAGAGTTCTACAAAATGAATCTGTGTTGCTGATCTGCCACATGTCGCGTCGTTTGTGTGGGGAGGAAAAAGCTGCAGCAGCAGCGTAGTTTGGTTTGGAGTATTGAGGTGATCCGATTTGTCTACAGAGCCCATCATTATTCATAGATGATAAGGCCAAAAGGGACCACCATGATCATCCTCTCCGCCTGTCTGAGTAACACAGACCCTTATACAGTGTGTCGCCGTGTGAGAAGATGGTGAGGGGAGGGTTTGTATTTTTGAAGAATGACTCAGTTTTGTAACCAGATGCCCTTTGAATGGGCGGGAGGCCCTGCTGTTTCTTACCCAGAGCTGACATACAGCATTAGCCTGGCACTCGTGAGACTGACGGAGCTGCTCTCTGTCAAATATTTCAGCCCTTTGCAAATCTGAGTGTTTCGAAAAGTCCATTCAAATGACAGTTATTAAAACAGAAGAAGGTGGGAGACCCCGGGTGACTCTCATCTGAATGGGATGAAGAAGCTCCTCCGTTGGGAGGAGGGGAGAGAGAAGCCCTGAGGCTCAGATCCATAAAAGACTTTTACTGTAGGTACCAAACTCTCAATTGATTTCAATGGGCATTCGGTGCCTGAATACTTCTGAGGATGTGGGTATCGGTGTCCCATAGTGGGGAATGGAGCAGGGGCTGCTCTGGGAGGCTGCAAGGCCTTTGTGACCAGATTTTCCCAGTACTCCGCACCCAGCAGTTCCCACTGAGAGCAATGGGAGCTGCTCAGTGCTGAGCTTGGTTGAGAATCTGGCCTCTGGTGTTCCACACGGGGGAGAGTTGCTCTTTGCCAGCAGATCGCGGGATGTGATCATTCCCCTCTATTCGACATTGGTGAGGCCTCACCTAGAGTACTGTGTCCAGTTTTGGG